AAGCTCCAAGAGGTAATAAAGTCAAGGCAAGTGCTAGGGAAGACAAAATAATAGCACACAGTATTTCCAGACGTTGGATGAGCCACTCATTCGCTGAAAAGCTGTGAAACAATGAACTTCCATTTTTTGTCTATAAGTTTCAGACTTTCCAAGAAGAAACGATCTTCCTCCATAAATGCTATATTGGTCATAAGTCCTACTATGGATTCGGAGAGATGGCTAGCTAGTGAAGATTTGGTTGTGCCACAAATCCTTATTAGTTCTTTTCCAGTAGCAAAGTAGAATTTCTGTATTGGAGAGCCAAAGAGATTAACTTTTATATTGTGGAAGACCGGAAAAATATAAACAATTTTAGCTTATGGGACATACGGCAGCGTCGGCAGGTTGTCGATTGACTAAATTACATCAGTTTCTGGTGCATATTCATTGAGGAACTTCAGTATCCTACTCAATCCACTTGATCCAATTTTTTTGTGGACAAATCAGAACATTTTTTGTACGATCCCTTCTCTGAAAAAGTGATGTAAGTGGTGGACATCATGTAAAACACGACAAAGCCAATTACACTAGTTACTTTTTCCTTGGAGAATGGACATATTTTAGGTATGAATTCACATTTTTATATATATATTTTTAGGTGTATATTTGATTGCAAATCTAATATTTTTATAACATTTTGTATGATTGGCCAAATAGAACAATGAGCTTAATTTTAATATTTTTAAAATTTATAAAATATAAAATAATTATGGTATCAGGCTGACATCAGCAGCTTTTTAAAAACGATCCAACTGATCCAACCAGTTAACCCCTAATTCAATAGTTTAGCCAAATCGCTATTTGATCCGAGTTTAACAATATTGATAAATACTAAAGTAACAAGCGTAGATACTAAGACAGCATGAAAAATCACAACAAATAATGTCGCTCATTGAAAGTTATATCCAACCATCAATCCCAGCCATTTAATTTCAGAGCCATACAATTTCTTCTATTCACTGTGCCATGAAATCATTACTAGAATTGCAAATAACATATATCCATCATTCACATGCACTCTTACTTGTCAAAAGATCCTTGTGTTGTCATTGTTTCTGCTAGTATGTTTCCTGGCTATATGATAATAATGAGAAGGAACCAGACTGTGCAAGCACAATCTAGGCCCATCTATAAAATTATAGCTACAATTCGTTATACTATAATTTGCTTTCAAATAAAAAGAAATTATATTTGTCAAAAAATGTGCCTAAAAAAGTTTATCTTTAGTGGAATATTCCAAAAGTTTGCTCGAACTTGCTTATCGTGATGCAATAGAGATATATATTGTATTGTATGGACAAATAATAGCAAAAAATTCAAAAACCAAGCACATGAGAAATGCAAAATCGGTTCAATATTAACATAAATGATATATGCTTCATAAAACTCAAGTATCATGCTATTATAATTACAAATGCATAAAATTTCACCACTGTTTCTTTTTCAAACAAGACACCGTCATGTAAAAACTTTTATCCTACAAATTTACAATAAAACTTGCAAGAAAGTTGAATGGAAGGCTTTTCAATGCATAAAAAGGGTACAAAATTCAGTACCAAAGAATTAGTAAAAGAAGTGCAAGATTCAATTATGCATTAAAAAGGAACTAAAGCATCAAAATTGCAAAAAATAAATTTTGCATTTAGATTTAAGAAAAACCGCACAAAAGGAAAATCGATTTGCAGAACCAAAACAATGGAAGGCTTAATGAATATCAAGGAGATCAAGCCAAAATAAATAAATACACCAAGGTAACAGAATAAAGAGGCTAAAAAAGAAAAATGATAAAGGCTAAATAAATTACAATCAATAAAAATAAGTTAAAAATACAGTTAATAAAAAAAAAGTTAAGTCCGTATTTGGCAGCATGAAACAAGGGAAGAATAGGAATAAAAAGAAAATGAAATATACCAAACAGTGGGAGTAGTGGAGGTAAAAGGTCTATTGTCTATGTTTCTCCTAAAAAAAAAGATGATCATGATTCATGAATCATGATTTTTGAACAATGGAATAAAAGAAATATCCATTCCCGTGGAAAAAAAACATACATTCAATTAATTATAGAGGAAAAAGGAAAAAATGCACTGATTGAGCGGAACGAGGAAAGGCAGAGAAAAATTAGGATGAAGAAAAAAAGAAAAGAAAAAGCAAAATATTAGATTAAAGAGTTAAAATTGATGGAATAGGAAGTGACAGTATAAATCAATTGATTGTTACGACATCTCTCCAAGGTCAACAATAATCATCTAAAATATAGTAAGAAAATAATTTTAGTATAATTAATTATAAAGAAAAAATTTGAAGGGGGAAAAATGAAAGATGAAGAAAAAAGAGGGAGATAAAGGTTAAAAGTAGAGGCAGGAAGAAAAGAAGAATTGGGAGAAGAGATATTTATGACTTTGGGATATTATCACTTTACCCCTTTAAACAATATCATACTAGCAATTTATCCCCTAACGTTATCTTTTAGTCACTTCACCCCCATAAGTAATTCAACTCAACATGTTAAGAAATTTTGGACAAAAATACCCTTTTATTTTATAACATTACTACATTGTTATTATCATTTTATTCATTTAGATTATAGTGATACAATTATTTTAGTTTCTAACATTAGTTTTTAGACATTTTACCCCATCATTAATTTAACTAGTATGATAAAAAAATTTTAAATATATTTACCATTTTTTATATATAATTAAAAATAAAAAAGTTAGAATGGTTATTCTTCCTTTTTTTCACTTTAAGAGATCGAAAAATATAAAAATAAAAGAGTTTTCTCAAATTTCTTTTTTACACTTATTAATATTAGGAAAAGAAAAAGAGAAAGGAAAGAAGGAGACAGAAAATTAGATTTTGCAAAGAAAGAAAATAAAGAAAAGTCTAACATTATCGTATTACTTTAAGATTGTCGGGATTAGAATTGAAAGTTGGTAGTAAACAGAATAGTGAAATAATTTTAAAATAATAAAAATATTTAATTCTTTCTTATTTGTAATTTTTAAAAAAAGAATTGAGCTCTTTCTCTCCCTCTCCCCCTCCCCCTCCCCCTCTCTGTCTCTCCATTTTGTTTCAATATTAATAAGATTGTCAAGAAGAAACAAATTAATACTTTGACTTTTTTTTCTTGATATTAAAAAGGAGAAGAACCACTCTAAATTTTTTATTATTTTTATTATACAAAGAGGAGGGTATTTTCTTCTAAAGTTTTTTAACTTACTATGTTGGTTTAATGGTAGGATAAATTGGCTAAAAAATAACTCTAGGGGGTAAATTGATAATGAGACTATAGTTTATGGGGGTAAAGTGATAATAATTTTAAGGGTTAAATATGTCTTTTCAATTTAATTAACAAACTCCGTTAAGTTTGACCGTTAGTTTTGGGGGTAAAGTGACTAAAAGATAACGTTAAGGGGGAAATTGATAATAGCATCAAACGTTAAGGGGGTAAAGTGATAATAACCCTTTAATAATGTACAATTTATTTTAATTTTTTGACAAGCATAAAGTTTGTAATGATGATTTCTAAACCATTATAAATAATATGGTCTTTGAAAAGTAAGTTACGATATTTGTTTGACATTTATTTATAGATTTATTAAAAATTAATTAAAAAAGGAAAATGATAAAAGATCCATAAAAAAAGAATAAAAATTCTACTCTTTGTCCTTTGTTCTTGTAAATGGAGAATATAGCCAGTTATATATGCTCTATACAGCTTGGTAAAAAGAACAAAAAGAACTTTAGACAATGAAGAGTACAATTATGAATTAAATTTTGAATCAATTATTTCTTTCTTTCTTAAACTAATTGACTTCCTATCTATGTTTAGGAGAAGAAAAACACGTCTTCCTAATTTCTGTAAGTATTCAGAGTCAAACACATTCTGAAAGGCATCTTTATTCATATCACTAGGGGTTAAGTAGAGGTATTTCCTTAAAGAAAAAAAACAGTAGAGGTACTTTGTTATTCATTTTACGTCTTACATAAATCTATAAGGTGTTTATAGGGATATTATTGAACAATAGGAGAATTATGCGGTATTTTAAGGAAATTGCTATTTACGTTAAAATCATTGAAAAACAAATATTTCGTTTACAATAATAAGGTGAAAACTTATACATTACATGAATAGAAAATTTCTGACTTTAACACACATTCTAGCAGTAATTCAAGATGATAGCAGCTGATCGAAGAGCATATGAATACATTCTAACATTCCTCACTTTCTTGATGGAGTAACTTGTCAACTACTTAGCTCATTGTTGTTCTTTCCCTACGAATTGGAGAGTAACTCGAACTAGAACTTCGATATTTGTCATGTCAAATTCAACGTTCATGGTAAGGTTTGCACTTTTTGCAATCACCATTGGTGATGTTCTTCCATTAGTTTCAAGCATTTTATCTTTCATCTATGCAACGTGATTGAAACATGAGTAATTAATCATGTTTTATTCTTAGCTAAAGACTTATTGCTAACACGATTGCATGTGAGTAATTAGTCCTATCTTATTAAAAAATGTGGCTAACAAATATTTTTTTCATATATTTTTTAATTTGTTCGAAAAATTAGTTGTTAGCATGTGATGGTACGTGAATAGATTTGGACAGCAATTAACAAAAAATCAGTTAATGGGATTAAATGTGTTTAAAATATTGGGACCACATTTACTTTCATCTAAACTTTATGAACTAAAATGCTCAGGCCCCAAACATTTGGGCCAAAACCACAATTCTTTCTATTATTCAACAATAAGAGGATTGCTTTGTAATTTAAAGTAAATTACTATTATTTGCCTTGAATTCATTGAAAGACAAATATTTCGTACTTTTAATAGTCGTTCACAACAGTATGCTGGAAACATATAAATTTCATGAACATAAAAAATCTAATTGTAACACATATATTAGTGAGCAATTTAAGATTATCACAACTCATTGAAGAGTATGCGAGATGCATCCTAATATTCATCACTTTCTTGATGCAGCAACATGTCCACCACCTGGTTCATTGTTGGTCTTGCATCTTTGTCTTCCTCTACGCATTGGAGAGCAACTTGAACAAGAAGTTCCACTCTTGCCATATCAAATTCAGCATTTATAGCAGGGTCTACAATTTTTGCAATTGCTGCTGGTGATGCTCTTCCATTAGCTTCGTGCGTTTTCTCCTTCACCCACGTAACTAGTCTTCTTGGCTCCATCACACTGGTGTTTTCCTCCATAGAATGGCCTCCAACTGGGCTTCTTCCGGTTAATAATTCCAGCACAACAATTCCATAACTATAAACATCAACTTTGGAGGTTATGGGAAGATTGAAAACCCATTCAGGGGCTATGTAGCCTTTAGTTCCCCTTATCCTAGAAAACGTTGATTCATCTGTTCCACCTCTGTTCAATAGTTTGGACAGGCCAAAATCTGCCACCTTTGGCTGGTAATTCGAATCCAAAAGTATGTTTTGAGGCTTCACATCACAGTGCAAAACCCACTCTAAGCACTCTTCATGCAAGTAAGCAAGTCCTTTGGCTGTACCAAGAGCAATATCATACCTCTTTTTCCAGTCAAGTCTGTCAGAATGCAGATTTTTTGCTAGAGAACCATGCTCCATGTACTCATAAACCAATAGCCTGTGCTTACCTTCAACACAATATCCCCATATCTCAATCAAATTCATGTGGTTCAACTTGCCAATAGTACTCAACTCTGCAAGAAATTCAGCTTCTCCCTGGTTGGCTTCATTGAGACACTTGATGGCAGCAACTTGATTATCTGTCAACACGCCTTTATACACAATGCCTCCCCCTCCTCGTCCTATTTCTGTGCTGAAGTTTCTTGATGCCTTTTTCAACTCAGCAAAAGTGAATTTCCTGAATCCTGTTGCAACCTGAGTGTAACCCTGTACTCTTGCACTAGATCCTCGTTGGGTTTTGAACAAGTAAGTGAAGAAACAGATGATCTCAAAAGTCCCAACTACCAAAGTGCACCACAAGGATGACTTCACCCACCCATGTTGACATTTTTTCTGGTATGCTCGGTCGAGTGAAGCAACATCGACTGTGCACTTTAAGTTGGTTTCTTGAAGAGACTTTTGATCAAATGAGGTTATAGTAGATTGGGGCAATCTTAGATAAATTGGGAAATCAAAACCACTTGAACGATGACCATTGAACAAACTGGCCTTAGGGTAACAATTATAATAGCCTTTATCTTTATCAAATTTGAATTCGAAGCCTTTACAACTGCAATAGTTGAGGCATAAATTTTGACAATTATCAAGCGTGGAATTACTAAAGAAACCAATATCATAGCCATAAAATTCAACATTTTGGAGAAGAAGAAAACCTGATGCATTACTGTCATTGCATGGCAGTTGGAAATCTGGTTCGCATCCATAAGCCCAATCTTTCTGGCTTTTGATTTTGTATCCAGGTGCACAAGTGCATTTTCTTCCGGTCTCATGGGCGTAAGTGCACAAACTATTTTCTCCACATATGCCATGAACTTTGCATGGTTGCAGTGTGGATTGCCACGTAACTTTCCAATTTCGACTTGCCATATCAAGACTGTAGACCCGGACATTGCCATCAAAATCCATGGTCAATCTTCTTTGTATGCCTGGACCATAATCAACAGTAATAATGTCAAACTGATCTGATGACTGGAATCTCCCCCATGAATCAAGAGTGGCAACCTTACTGTTGTTATAAGGGTACCTCCCGTTGTCCCAACTATGTTTCCATGGGTCAGGCCATGAAATACCTGCTGTTTGAGGACCCTGGTACAATAGACTAAGGACGTTATCATCACCAAAGTATAACTTGTAGAATCCAGAAGAATAATTTGTCAGGCTTCTGGAAGATAACAGAGTTTTGGGTGAGCGACTGCCCTGGAAGAAGCGTGTTTGTTGGCGAGTTAAAGCTTTGCCAAAGATTTCCGCCCTCTATATTGCTCAGCATAAGATTGCCATTTTCATGGAGTTGCAATTGAAGAGAAGACCTTGATTGCGTGCTACTTGTCCAAACAGTAAATTGCCCTGCATCTGTCAGCACAAGACTGCCAGACTTGAGCAGGGAAAGCCTGGAATTTTTTCCATTAACCGGTCGGTCCCTATTGGCCATCCAGACAATGGTGTAATTTCCATGATCATATAGCTCAGTAAACCATATACTAAAGCAATACGCATTCTCGCCAACACTGAAAAATCCCGCCGTGAAATTTCCATGCGGTTTTGAAATCAGAACATCTTCAGAAGAAAGTGATGATCCTGTAGTCAAACTATCAGTGCTTTTCGAGGATGATACAAATGCTAATGACAGAGCTAAAACAGAAATTAAGATAGCATTAAAGAATAGACCCATTGGAGTTGTAGAAGTGTAATTTTGCAAGTATATGCATGCAAACTTCTTGTGGACAAACATGGCAGAAAGTAGAGGAATATATAGATAGTATGAGTGGTCTCTCGTAAGACATGACTTCTTGACTTCTTGTGGTTTGTGGAACTACTTTTTGCACATTGGAAGTCAAGCCACTTTGATAGTATGAGTGGTATCTCGTAAGACATGACTTATTGACTTCTTGTGGTTTGTGGAATTACTTGTTGCAGATTGGAAGTCAAACCACTTTGCTTTAATTTTCTTCAAGAGTTTGGCAGGGCTTTGATTAGACTGGTGTAGCTGGGAATCATCGTTCAAATGTAAACTAGAGACGCACACTTCCAGTTATGGAGATAATTTGCTCGAGTTTTTTTCCTGTATACTTACTAGAACTATGGCAATATTTCTTAGAGACTTGTTAAAATCCTCAAATCTGGTGATAGAGATAGAACATACAACGAAAAGCCTAATATAAATAGTCGTTTTTCTTTTTTGTCAATTCCTGATTTGGACTTGAAACATTTTCATATCCTAGTCACCAGCTCGTCCCCCTCGGTAAGTATCCTTTCATTTAATTGGGTGGTTCATCCCAACTTCCATGCAAGTCTCTTTAAACTCCCTTCATAGACTAAGAATAGGAGTAAGTTGGATAATTGTCATGGCAAACCAACCACTCTTAGAATAGTTGACCATTAAAAGAGTTTCAAAGCTCTACTTGGGTGTAAGTCAAGAAATCAAATCTTTTGCCCTGCATTCTAACATTCAAGCTTTCCTGGAAATGTTTTCGCTAGCGGGTGCATGGGCACCCGTCTAAACTAGTGATGGTTCACCGGACTCCCTTAAAAAAAAAATTCTAATTGGGTTGAGGTCGGAGAGGATTGGGTCACTAGTTTCTCTACATGTTTTCAGAAATGAAAAGAAGTAAATACTGTGTTAACCTTGGGGAGCCCAACTACTTACCGCCCATTTATCCCCAACATCTAACCTTTGGTGATCAATTATTAAGGGTTATTATCACTTTACTCCCTTAAACTATATCATTACTATCAGTTTACCTCCTAACGTTATCTTTTAGTCATTTCACCCCATAAGTAATTCAACTCAACATGTTAAGAAATTTTGGACGAAAATACCCTTTTATTCTATAGCATTACTACACTGTTATTATTACTTTATTCCTTTAAATTATAGTGATATAATTGATTTAATTCCTAACATTATTTTCTTGGCATTTTACTTCATTGTTAATCTAACTACTTTGGTAAAAAAAATTTAAATATATTTACCCTTATATATATAATTAAAATAAAAAATTTAGAATGATTATTCTTCTTTTTTTTTACTTTAAGAGATCCAAAAATATAAAAATAAAAGGATTTTCTCAAATTTCTTTTTTCACACTTATTAACACTATGAAAAGAAAAGGAGATAGGAAAGAAGGAGACAAAAAATTAGACTTTACAAAGAAAAAAAAAAGTCTAACATTATCGTATTAATTTAAGGTTGTTGGGATTAGAATTGAAATATGGTGATAAACAGTAAAGTGAAATAATTTTAAAATAATAAAAGTATTTAATTCTTTCTTATTTGTATTTTCTTAAAAAAGAATTGAGCTCTCTCTCTCTCTATCTCTCTTCCCCTCTCCCTTCCCTTTCCAATCTTTCTATTTTTTAATATTAATAAGATTGCCAAGAAGAAAGAAATTAATGCTTTCACTTTTTTTCTTGATACTAAAGAGAAGAAGAGTCATTCTAAATTTTTTATTATTTTTATTATACAAAGAGGAGGGTACTTTCTTCTAAAGTTTTTTAACTTGCTAAATTGGTTTCATGGTAAGATAAATTGTCTAAAAAATAATTCTATGGGGTAAATTGATAATGAAACTATAGTTTATGGGGATAAAATGATAATAAATTTAAGGGCTAAACTTGTCTTTTTACTTTAATTAACAAACTCCGTTAAGTTTGATCGTTAGTCTTGGGGGTAAACGACTAAAAGATAACGTTAAGAGGGAAATTGATAGTGGCACCGAATGTTAAGGGGGTAAAGTGATAATAACCCTATGACTTTTAACTAACAAAAAAAAAATAGTCGAGTAAAAATTTAACTACAAATATAAATTGACACTTGTCAAAATAAGAGACTAGACAAAAAAAGATGTTGCGACAGTAACCTCTCTTTCTTTTTATAGACAAGGTAGATATAAAGAAGTTGACCATCAATACGTTCAAAAGTAAATACTCCCTCCGTCCCATTGAAACTGTCATGTTTTTCATTTTGGTCTGTCCCAAAATATTTGTCACATACCTAAAATGGCAAATGAATTTTTCTCCTTCTTCTAATTTTACCCTTCTGACACTACCTTTAAATATGTGGGTCCAGCATAAATTGTCAAAAGAACAAGACACGCTTTGAAGTGCGTGGTTGATGCTAGCCAATGTTTACTAGCGCGTGCAGTGCAAAATAAGCAAAAAGTTAGTGTAGCTTTAATAATGTAGTGGGCCCAAAGTGTTGACTAGTTTGAATAACTTCATCCGCACCACTATAGGCAAAATTTAGACAGCTTGGCAGGGATAATTTAGGAATTACAGACAGCTATCTCTTCTTCTTGTCTACTATTGAAAAATATTCCAATTCCCGAAAAGTGACAAACTTTTCGGGACGGAGGGAGTACTTCCTCTGTCACAGAGAAAAAAAACATTGGACTTCGGTATACTTAATTTTATTAATAGTGATTGCATATGTTGTCTGATCCTCTTTGATTTCAATTTTGCCCTTGCTTTTACAATCACTAATGGCATATTAGTCTATTTGTCTGGTGGACATTCAGTTGGCTTCTTCTAAGCCATTAGATGTTTCTGAATTTGAATAGAGACCATTGATCTTTCTTACAAAGAGGTGCTACTCGTTCTTTAATTGGCGAGATGCTGCATTTCCTAATCGGATATGGAGTCTCTCCAGTTTAATTTTTGTCCTTTCATCCAGTCATATAAATTAGGGATAATTGCATAAACCTCCCCTGAGGTTTCTGACATTTGCACTAACATCCCCTGTGGTTTGAAAAATTACACTGACCTCCCCTGAGGTTACTAATCTTTTGCAAATTTAGTCCAAACGATTAAAATATTATTTTAGGGAGTGAAATTAGAATTTTGTACCAGATTTGCCCTTTGTGCTACATGTCCAATGAATGACAAAGTACTATAAATCAATTAACAATTAATAAACTTTAAGGAGTATAATTTATGGGTAAACACGCATTACTCATTTAAAGTACCGGCTCTTTACGGGTATTTTATTTTCAAACATTAAATTTATGATAAATATATCAATATTTGTAAGTAAAATTCAAAAAGTATTACAGTAATATTCTTGCTAAAAGGAAATCGGTAGGTTATTTATTTAATATAAATTAATTTTTTTTTAAAAAAAAGCAATGGCCCATAAAGTATTAATTTTTTATGGCTTTCATCCATTACATGAGTAAAGTATTCGCTCTTTATGTGCATTTTATTCTGAATCATTTAATTTATGTTAAATACATAAATGTTTGTAACTAAAATTGAAAAAGTGTTATATTAATATTTTTACGGAAGAGAGATTAGTAGGTTTTGTATTTAACAAAAATTAAATATTTGAAAGTAAATACAAATCTGTATTTGAGCGCAAATATTTGTATTAAATTAAATGTTTGAAAGTAAAATACCCGTAAAGAACTGGTACTTTAAATAGTTACCGACTCTTTATGGGCAAACACGTATTACTCATTTAAAGTACCGGCTCTTTACGGGTATTTTACTTTCAAATATTTAATTTATGATAAATATATCAATGTTTGTAAGTAAAATTCAAAAAGTGTTACAGTAATATTCTTGCAAAAAGGAAATCGGTAGGTTATTTATTTAATATAAATTAAATATTTTTTTAAAAAAAGAAATGGCCCATAAAGTATTAATTCTTTATGGCTTTTATCCATCACATGAGTAAAATATTGGCTCTTTATGGGCATTTTATTCTGAATCATTTAATTCATGTTAAATACATAAATGTTTGTAACTAAAATTGAAAAAGTGTTATATTAATATTTTTACGGAAGAGAGATTGGTAGTTTTTGTATTTAACAAAAATGAAATATTTGAAAGTAAATATAAATCTGTAATTGAGTGTAAGTATTTGTATTAAATTAAATGTTTGAAAGTAAAATACCCATAAAGAGCCGGGACTTTAAATAGGTAATGCGTATTTGCCTATAAACTATACTCCTTAAAGTTTATTAATTGTTAATTGATTTGTAGTACTTTGCTATTCATTGGACATGTAGTACAAAGGACAAATTTGGTACGAAATTCTAATTTCACTCCCTAAAACAATATTTTAATCGTTTGGACAGAATTTGCAAAGGATTAGTAACCTCAGGGGAGGTCAGTGTAATTTTTCAAACTACAGGGGAGGTCAGTGTAAATGTCAGAAACCTCAGGGGAGGTTTCTGCAATTATCCCTATAAATTAATATAACTTGATATAAACTAGCATAATTTTGATGTAGTCATGAGTTTTACATCAATGTAGTACAAAATTCACCTTTACACCAAAATTATACATATTTACACTGAAGTTGTGTTAGTTTACACAATTGGAGAGGCCCCATTTCCTAATCTAGGTGAATTCATCTTTCTAAAGTGGAAGTTGGTTTTGACTTCTATCTAGCCATGTTGATAGTGGCGTATTCATAGTTTAACAATGTGTGTCGCAATAGTAGTTTGTCAGAGAGTTTTATACACAGTTTCTGAGTGAGATTTCATTGTATTTGTTAGAAGAGTTTGCCATAGTTGGCTTGACCTCCCTTGCTTTCCCTCAATGTACAATTGCTACTGCAATTTTTATATTTTTACCACAAAAATAGTACTGGCCAAACTCTTGTACAACTGCAAAGGATGATAGTATTGTTTATTGCCTAGTGATATATTACCTACAACTCAATTGAAAGATGTATAATTTTGCTGAATGAGTGGCACATAAAATTTTTGGACCAAAGATGGTGTTGGGGATGGATCGATGAGAGGACTCTTGCACCAGCTAAATTTGTCTGTGTAATGATTCAAAATATGCAAACTCATGCCAACTCCATTCGCAACGAAGCCTTTATGATTGTGTTGGCTTTCCAAAACCTGATATCCTACATAATTTCTAGGGATAATTTCAGAAACCTCCCCTGAGATTTCTAACAATCTCACTCGCCTCCCCAGAGGTTTGCAAAATATCAACTACCTCCCCTAAAACTAAGTAGGTAGTGTCAAATCTAACCCAATTCAAATGGACAAACAATATAAAATATGTATTAAGAGAGAGAAAAAAAAACTTCATTCCACCTCTGCCTTTGAGATTGTCATTGGTGATTTAATTTATGCTGAATAGTACACTGCCATATAACAACAATGGAATTTTCAAGAGGTGTATTTGAAACTGATGGGAAAGGCAAGGTTACTAGTACATTTTGGAAGCTAGAAGCCTACGGCTCTTTATGCAACAGCTTCTAACGGTAAAAAGCAACACTACTCTTGCCTACTTCTCTATATAATTGCAAAATAAAACTGCAACATATGATAATGCATCTTGTTGAGTGGTTGCTGAGCAAAGGTAAAAGCAAAAAAAAGGGAAAATCGTTCAAAACGTTCCTCATATTTTACAAAATGACTTTTTTCATCCCTCACTTTTAAAAATATAATTTTACGTCCCTTACAAAATCACATTGGTCAAATTTGATTCCCATCTAGATTTTTGACTAGTTTTTGGTCGGCATCTACCACGTGCCTTGCACGTGATCATTTTTGAGGGGCAAATTTGTCAAATCAAATTTCACATAATTTGATTTTTTCGTCCCTCACATTTCACAAAATGAATATTTTCATCTCTCATTGATCATGTGTACGAATAGTTTCTTTTTTTTTTTTTACACCCACGTATATATTTATTTACGAACAATATGATTTCACCTGAAATCACCTGAACAATACGAATAGCATGTAATATATCTGTATTTGATTTAATCTACAACTACAATTAGCTTATTTAGATGAAATTAAATAGAGACATATTACATGTTATTTGTACTATTCAGGTGAAATCAAATAAATATATATATATGAGTTTTCAAAAATAAGAAAAGATTGTTGTACACATGATCAATGAGGGATGAAAATTTTTATTTTGCAAAATGTGAGGGATGAAAAAATTTATTTTATGAAATGTAAGGGACGAAAAAAATTTATTTTATTAAATGCGAGGGACTATGGATCAGATTATGTGAAATGTGTTTGACAATTTTACCCCTAAAAAATGATCATGTGCAAGACACGTGGTAGATTCCGGTAAAAAACTAGTTAAAAATCTAGATGGGGACCAAAATTAATCAATGTGAATTTGTAAAGGACGTAAAATTACACTTTTAAAAGTAAGGGACAAAAAAAGTTATTTTACAAAATGTGAGGGACGTCTTGAATGATTTTCCCAAAAAAAAAAGTTATAAGTTGAACTAACTATTTCTCACCAAAGTAATCGATCACTGATCACTGTAGCTCTCATTGTCACATCAATCATCAAAAGGGCACTTTTTTTTGTGCTCTTTCCCTAAACCGAAATTAGGAATTAATTTTGCATCCAAATTTTAATTAAGTTAGTTAATTTATGTATTATTGGCTTAACTAATTATGTCAAAATAAATTTGGAATAGATGATAAGTTATGAGGGTATTTCTATCAATTCACCACCCTTGATGTCACAATTAGGGCCCAATAATCTAAGAGGGAGAGGTAACCGATATTTTGCAAACTTCAGGGGAGGCAAGTGAGACTATTAGAAGCCTTAGGGGAGGTTTATGAAATTTTCCCTAATTTCTACAAGAAAAATGATTATTCAACCAAATTCAAGCAACTGCTGCATAAGCAAATGTCACCAACTCTTCTGGTGCTTAAACATGCATGTCTCCTTGAGCATTATATGCTTATGTGTGATTGAGCTCTTCATGTTGCTATGGCAAATTAAAGTTCTCGTTGGTATTTTACATAGTGCATATGTACTAGGACATCCGCTCGATATGTTTGCCTATATCTTGCTATCAATGCAAGAAAATCAAAATGCATATAAAAAAAAATTAACGACAATGACTACCTTAGACTTCATAGATACCCTCGCACTTCAAGCTCTCAAATCGATTTTTGCATAAATTTTCTTGGTAATAAAATAACATCTTCAAAGTTTGGGGTTGTAGCATTGAATTTTGATCATTTCAAGGTAGCCTCATTGAAACCTAAACACAGTAATTAATTATGGTAAGACTTTTCGTTATATTGTGCACGCATTTGAGTTCAATTCCATCAATCAAAAGTATTTTATTTATAGTTATAGCTGGTAACAAGGTGGATAAAACTTCATTCATGAGTTTGAATAGGAATCTTATTGTCCTAAATTAACTTGAATTTCTTCCTATGGAGCGTTTTTTCACTTATGTTACAGAGGTAAATATAGATAAACCTAAAAAACAATGCTCTGCTCTCAAAAGAATTAAAAAAAATGTAACAATCAACTTGCTTTTCTATTCAAATGTAATATAACATGCTAAGTTGCTTAGGTGATTCAATTATCAAAGGTACAAATGAACTAAATTTTAAGCAACAATCTCAGTTTTTAGTGCACAAAAATAGTGATTACTATGTAATGATAATAACGTTCTCTATAGAAAAGTTGTTTGTTAAATAATTGAGCTGAAATTTAAATTAACTTTTTATCATGTCAATAAAACCATAATAATGCTTAACGATAGGAGTACTGGACGTACATGATTGCACACAAATCATTTTTTTCATTGTTTTTAGCAAAATGTTCATGAAGGAACCTAAGGTCGGGGGTACCTACTACAAATTATGTATCCAACTTTTTGATTGAATGAAAGACTTCAATGTGAAGGTACAGGTGCGGATAAGCAACAAAGTGTTGGTCAAAGGCCTCCAGCAAAGAATCTGCCCTGAAGCTAGATGTGCAACATTAATAGATGATATCCAGTCCTTTAGCTCTGTGTTCTCAAAGTGCTCCTTGGTTTGTACAAGAAATGAAAATATGGATACTAGTAGATTTCTTAGTGAACATGCCCTGGGCATATTTCAAGATGAAGAATGGAATGACTTCGCTCTCTTGTGCTAAGATGCACCTTTCGTAAATTTGGACCTTTGTCCAATTACTGTACAGTTTTGATATCATAAATACAAAAGCTAACATTTCCAAAAAAAAAAAAAAGAAGAAAGACCTCAATGTAGTAGATCCCAGAAGGTCAATTCTTTTGAGTTGTCAAATCAATAACCATAAGTAGTAGATCCCACAAGGACAATAATTTTTTTTTAACATACAAAAATTATACGCGAGAATCAAGCTCAAAAACGTATGATATCATCAAGCAGACTGTTATGTGCTATTAGAAGAATAAAATGAGTCCTTCACCCTCAAAAACCACAACCAATAATACTCAGACTATTAGCTGGCAAAATATTTGTCAAATGTTGAATATTGATCAATATCTATACTATAAAGGAGAGGTGGAGGTTTTGAGGTGAATAATTGTCATCACTTTCAACTTTACCCTTATAAAAAATTAATTATTGCTTTATTACCTAAACCTACATTATCTATACTATGTAATCATGATCGCAGACTAATCCAGGGAAAAAAATCAAAGGAAGCCAGAGAGCAAAGTAGGAAGTGCCCAACTGCGTTTAAGTCAGATTTGATAAAATGATAGAATGATTAGTGATTACCCTACAACCATAGGTTATTTAGTCACAGCAACAAGACACCTGAAGTCTAATGTTTTGCACAGGACAGAATTTCACAGAGAAATTTGATATTCTAAATTTGGACAGCTCAGAAGCACCAAAGCCTATATAAAATAGTTATCTAGGATAGAGACATGTAAAACTTGATAACCATTACACTATGATGAAACAGCTATTAGGTGCGGCCTGCCATTGCTCGTAGTTGTGCAATCATCAGAGCAGCAGCTGAATCTGTAGCTTCTTCAGGAGTAGAAACCAATTCACTAAGACAGGAAGAATCAAAATCCATGCCTTCTACAGTTACCTTAGCTAAAAATCCACCTAAAAAACATAATAAATGGGATAAAACATATACCCCCTTTAGGAACATGAACACAAAATGATTTCTATGCTTAGAAATATTGTTCATTCTTGCCCTTGCTACCTCACCTTCAGAAACTGTAGAAAAGAAGATTACAATATACATACACATATTCATATGAAAAGCAAATGAAGTCCTGGGTACTTTCTTTGAATTATTTCCTTCTCGGCAACTTTGTTGTTGTGTTACTGAGGGCGAAGGGGAAGGCAATATGAACCAGAGATGGTAAAAATTGGTTTAATGATGGTTTTGAGAATTACATACAACTATAATAAGGCTAGATCCTGGGAGATTCTTCTTCTTATCAATTGTTTTTATGCCATATGAAGTGGGTAGCAGCTCTTATCAAAAGTAAAGAATGCTAAGAGTATATATTCAGACAGCCCTAATATATAGAAATTCAAGTGTAGATGTCTTACCTTCTGGTGCTGTCACAGAATAATTGACTATCCAGCCATTCACACCACATATATCATTCAAATCCTGCAAGGAGAAATTTAGACGTTTATCACACCATCCAAAAAGGAAAACTAACAATCAAACAGTTCTCATGCTTAACACTATCTTAAAAACAAATCCAGTCATAAAACATGTACGAAGAATACAGCAGGAGAATTTCTTTGAATCCTGCACCGCTCGCCACCAAAAATTGAAAACAAAAAGGACACAAGTAGCAACAACAACATGTCAACAATTAATGGTTGTATTCTGGGTGCAAGATGACAGCCTGTGACTGACAAGGAGGAGCATCATGCAGTCCAAGATTATTTTGACTAATTTCAAACACATGCTTAGATAATGATACCATGAGCGCTTTAGGGCGTCCCCTTTGTCTTGAGTGAACCCATTACAGGAGAGATGCAGAGAAGACGTTCAACTTCTACTGACAAAATAAACAATTGTCTTACCTAACAAGAAAAGCATAGAAAAACACATCATTCCACAACTGCTTCACTAGTGTCTAGTTAGGATTGTTTCCAAAGAGCACAGGAGTGAAAAGCAAAAAGAGCTTCTCGAATGAGAGACATAAAATAAACAGACAAATCTAGTATGTTCATTTGCCTGAGTAGGAGACTGCAAATTAAAGATGGCATCTGATATCCTCTTTGTGGTTCTGAGTTGATTTAAGCGACAATGGCCACCATGTTGATAACTCTCATGCTGATACCCATCTTTGAAGCATGCATCATTACAACCATCCATGATAGCATCTAACATAAGAGCCAAAGCATCTTCATTGCCTAGTACAGAACAAGAAATGTGAACATGGGACATAGCTATTCAATTTCCCCATATACATTAGTAATAAAGTGATAAAACTACAGAGGAGCAAAAGGTTGTTAAGAACTTTTTCTTGTAAAGTTACCATCATGTCTTGCATTTATGGGCCTTTTAGAAGAAGCAAACTCATTCTTCATGTATAGTTTTACTCACAGAGAGGAGGCCATCTTACCAATTGGATTATCCATGAATCGAGTGAAACTAACTTTGGGCATCTTACCCTTCATCCATTGCATAAACAAAAATTAACAGCTCAAGAAACTTCAAACCATATCACAAGGTTAGCTTAAACCATTGTAAATCTTAAATAGGTAGCTTTGTTCATAAATCTAATGCCAACTCAGTCTTAGTATGCAGCCTACACCTAAGAAAGGAAATAAAAAATATTCCTTGATAATTCAAGAATTTATAATCCAACAAATTGCCATGGAAATTTGTATCATTTTGGAGGCTTGAATTCTTGTTTCTCACCTCTTTTGTTCACTTGAAAAGCTGGCCCATATTCTAAAGAAGAATGTAACATGTTCAATTCTTTTCTTATGAGAACAGAGGAAAATGTAACTATGGTAGAGTTGGTCTGTTGAAGAATCAAGAACCTAGCTTGGGAAAGGTGAAGCAGAGGAAAAGCTTAAATCTATTAAGTATGATACTGTTGAAGATATGTGATCTGATATTATGGAAAGATTTGATATTGTAAATATTAGGAAAGATATGATTATAGTATCATGTATTAATTAGGTATCATATGATTATAGTATCATGTATTAATTAGGTAGTAGATTGATTTAGATTAGCATGATTTTAGGATCTAAATTAGGTTACACTTGTGTATATATATATGTATATTGCGTAGTCCAAATATATGAAGAAAAGTATTTTCTCTCTCTTTTTCTTAGTTTTCATCGTATCAGAGCCCTACCATCAAGGTTAGGGTCTCTATCCGCTACCAGAAAATTCATTAGTCATCATTCAGTTCATCTGGTTCTGTATAGGACACATCTGTGTTCTATTCTTCACTCTTGTTTTAAAGAGTTCAGATCTGTCCCTTTTTGTTTTTCTCTGTTAATTCTGAACCCATGGCAGAAACGAAATCTGTCGTTACATCTGATGTGGTTCCTGTGATGTCTAAGATCACGGACCACAAACTCAACAATTCTAACTATCTTGATTAGAGCAAAACGGTTCGTCTTTATCTGCGAAGCATTGATAAAGACAATCATCTGACTGATGATCCTCCAAAAGATGGTTCAAGACAGACATGGCTAAGGGAAGATGCTAGATTGTTCCTGCAAATACGGAATTCTATTGACAGTGAGGTAATTAGCTTAATTAATCACTGTGAATTTGTTAAGAAGTTAATGGAGTATTTAGAATTTTTGTATTCTGGTAAAGGGAATATTTCTCGCATATATGAGGTGTGTCAAGCCTTTTATCGTGCAGAGAAACAAGATAAGTCCATCATGACTTATTTTATGGATTTTAAGAAAACTTATGAGGAGCTTAATCTGTTATTACCGTTTAGTTCTGATGTGAAAGTTCAGCAAACTCAACGGGAACAGATGGCAATTATGAGTTTTTTGGCTGGTCCTTCACCTGAATTTGAAGCTGCTAAATCTCAGATTCTTTCTAGTCCTGAGATCTCATCCTTGCAAGATGTGTTTAGTAGGGTGTTTCGCACAGAGAATACCCAGTCTGTTCAGTCCAGCAGTGCTCTTGTTGGTCTTGGAAAATAGCAATACAAAGATGGTGGTAAAGGTATTGACACTCGGGGACAGAATGCAGAAGTGGTTGTGTGTCACTATTGTCATAAGTCGGGTCATATGAAGCGTGATTGTAAGAAATTGCAGTACAGGAACCAGAGAACTCAATCCGCACATATTGCTTCTACCAATGATGCTATTAACCATGAAAAGTCTGTTACGATCTCTGCAGATGAATTTGCTAAATTTTCTCAATATCAAGAATCATTAAAGTCTTCATCTACTCCCGTAAGTGCCATCGTTGAGTCAGGTAAACCAAACACATGCCTTGTGTCCTCGTCCTCCAAATGGGTAATTGATTCTGGTGCCACAGATCATATGACAGGTAATTCTAGTCTATTTTCTACCTTTCAGCCACATACATCTGCACCTATAGTTACCTTAGCTGATGGTCAAAATCTCGTGTTCTTAGATCAAGCTCAGTTAACTCCACTCTATTAATCTCATTGTCATCTATCTTAAATTTGCCTGAGTTGTCTTTTAATCTAATTTCTGTGAGTAAACTTACTCGTGCCCTCAATTGTTCTGCCCAATTCTTTCCTAACTATTGCTTGTTTCAGGATTTTACGATGAAGCAGATTATTGGTAAAAGGCATGAATCTGGAGGTCTTTACATTCTTGACACACAGATACCAAAGTCCATAGCTTGTTCTGGAATTGTAACTCCATTTGAAGCACATTGTAGGCTGGATCATCCTTCTCTCCCGTTGTTAAAGATACTTTGTCCACAATTTCAGGGCTTGTCTCTATTAGATTGTGAGTCTTATCAGTTTGCCAAACATCATCGTGTTAATCTGAATCCTAGAGTCAATAAACGAGTGGATGCTCCTTTTGCATTAGTTCATTCAGATATCTGGGGACTTAGTCCAGTCATTTCTAAAACTGGATTCAAGTATTTTGTTACTTTTGTCGATGACCATTCTCGTATGACTTGGTTATATTTAATGAAAAATCGGTCAGAGTTGTTTTCTCATTTTTGTGCTTTTTATGCTGAGATTAAGACTCAATTTAAGCGTTCTGTACAAATATTGCGAAGTGACAATGTCAAAGAATATTTATTCGCACATTTTCAATCTTATATGATGCAAAATGGCATTATTCATCAAACCTCTTGTGTGGATACACCATCCCAAAACGGGGTCGCAAAACGAAAGAATAGACATTTGCTCGAAACTGCAAGAGCCTTATCATTTCAAATGCATGTTCCTAAACATTTTTGGGCTGATGCAGTGTCCACAGCTTGCTTTCTAATTAATCGTCTGCCTTCATCTGTTCAGAATGGTGGGACTCCTTATAATACTCTTTTTTCAAATAGACCTTTGTTTCCCATCGAACCTAAAATCTTTGGGTGTACATGTTTTGTCCACGACTCTCGTCCCCAAGTCACTAAATTAGACCCCAAATCATTGAAATGTATTTTTCTTGGTTATTCCCGTATCCAAAAAGGATATAGATGTTATTGTCCTAGTCTCGGCAGGTACATTGTGTCAGTTGATGTTACTTTTCTTGAAAATACACCTTTTACCCCATCCTCATCTCATTCATGTCAGGAGGAGGATGATTTGTTAATCTATACTGTCACATCTTCAAGTTCTTCCCCTGCTAAACCTCCAATTACTCAGGTATATTCTCGACGACAAAAGTCTCCTGATGCATGCCCTGAACCAGTTCCTTCGTTACTAGATCCTGTCTCAAGTGATGATCTTCCTATTGCTCTTCGCAAAGGTAAGCGTCAATGCACTTATCTTGTGTCTTCGTGTGTATCTTATAATCATTTACCCACCTCTTCTTGTTCCTTTATTACATCTATTGATTCTATCTCCCTTCCTAAAACTGTTCATGAAGCCCTATCCCATCCCGGATGGCGCAATGCTATGATAGAGGAGATGAATGCTCTAGATGGTAATGATACTTGGAACTTAGTAAATTTACCTGCAGGGAAGAAGGCCATTGGGAGTAAGTGGATTTTTGCAGTTAAATTCAATCCTGATGGATCGGTTGCTCGGTTAAAAGCTCGCCTTGTTGCCAAAGGCTATGCCCAAATCTATGGAGAGAATTATTCTGACACTTTTTCCCCTGTTGCTAAGTTAACATCTGTCAGGTTATTCATTTCTATGGCAGCCACTCATAATTGGCCTTTGCATCAACTAGATATCAAGAATGCCTTTTTTCATGGAGACCTCCAAGAGGAAATTTATATGGAGCAACCACCAGAGTTTGTTGCTCAGGGGGAGTCTGGGAAGGTTTGTCATCTTCGGAAGTCCTTGTATGGACTGAAACAAAGTCCTCGTGCTTGGTTTGAAAAATTTAGTCTAGCAGTTGAAAGGTTTGGGATGCAGAAAAGCAAATCTGATCATTCTGTCTTCTACAAACAGTCTGAAGCTGGTATTATTTTGCTGGTAGTATATGTGGATGATATTGTTATCACTGGGAATGATGCTGCAGGTATTTCATCTCTTAAAACTTTTCTCCATAGTCAATTTCAGACAAAGGATTTGGGACTGTTAAAGTATTTTTTGGGTATTGAGGTAGCAAAGAGTAGGAAGGGGATATTCCTGTCCCAAAGAAAATATGTTCTTGACTTACTATCTGAAACGGGAAAATTGGGGGCTAAACTAGCTAGTACCCCAATGATTCCTAACTTGCAGCTCACAAAAGAAGGTAAATTGTTAGAAGATCTTGGGAGGTATAGAAGATTGGTTGGAAAGTTGAATTATCTTACAGTGACTCGTCCAAAAATCGCGTATTCAGTTAGTGTTGTTAGTCAATATATGTCTAATCCTACTGTTAATCATTGGGCAGTTGTAGAACAAATTTTGTGTTATTTAAAAGGAGCTCCTGGACGTGGTATTCTGTATAAAAATCATGGTCATACTAGGATTGAGTGTTTTTCAGATGCTGATTGGGCAGGATCCAAGGCAGATCGAAGATCCACAACTGAATTTTGTGTCTTTGTTGAAGGAAACCTGGTCTCATGGAAGAGTAAGAAGCAGAATGTTGTCTCACGATCGAGTGCAGAGTCAGAATATAGAGCTATGGCACAATCGATATGTGAAATCATGTGGATAAATCAACTTCTAACTGAAGTAGGTCTCAAAACCTCAATGCCTGCAAAATTGTGGTGTGATAACCAAGCGGCTCTTCATATTGCATCCAATCCCGTATTTCATGAGCGAACAAAACACATCGAAATAGATTGTCATTTTGTTCGTGAGAAATACAGCAGGGCTTGATTTCTACAGGATTTGTAAGGACTGGAGAACAATTGGGAGATCTCTTTACGAAGGCTCTACATGGAGTTCGAGTTGATTACGTTTGTAACAAGCCGGGCATGAGCAACATCTATGCTCCAGCTTGAAGGGAAGTGTTGAAGATATGTGATCTGATATTATGGAAAGATTTGATATTGTAAATATTAGGAAAGATATGATTATAGCATCATGTATTAATTAGGTATCATATGATTATAGTATCATGTATTAATTAGGTAGTAGATTGATTTAGATTAGCATGATTTTAGGATCTAAATTAGGTTACACTTGTGTATATATATATGTATATTGTGTAGTCCAAATATATGAAGAAAAGTATTTTCTCTCCCTTTTTCTTAGTTTTCAGATACCAACTTAGGACCTTCATTTACTGAATGGAAGATATATTTTCTATTCCATTCAATTCTTGCACAAGGTATCAGGTAAGTGCAGCGATAAAGAAACTAAACAAGTCAAGATAAGCACTATACCCTCTAAGATCTTCTGGATGTTTTGATCACAAGCTGCAATCTCATCATGCATGAGGCGAGCTTGATGACACTGCCAAGACGAAGAGATAAGTCAATGAATGTTCTATACCAGTTTAGGAATGGCAAGCAGATGTTAGGACTGAATAAAATGTGCAAATGGAACATTTAAGAAGATGAAGTCACTATGTAATTGGGTCATAGTTGGAATATTCACAGCAAGGAAATCAAGCTTGGAATACTATGACAAACCAAATATTTGCGGCATTCAGAAGATTGACTTTCCAAAAACTGTACCAGATAATATTAGAGAGAGAGTTTTTTAGTATCCAGGACAATCTTTCTGTCTCACAAGTTTTAGCACTATTTTCTGCAATACACGTTATAGCTAACTTCATAAGACTTATGCTCCACTCAAACTGATGCATATACATCATAGAAAGCCCCACTTGTTAGAAATACTTCCATTTCTTTCAGCTACCAATAGTATCAGTAAACAGAAATATTAACTGATCTCTTGCTTCTTGATGGAACATACATTATTTTGCTGTACTTTTCCCTTCAATCTACTTTTAACTTTCTGGCATTTCCTTAAAAAAAGGAAAGAAAGAAAAGATTAAGGTTCATTCAAGGAGCATTCAGTAGTCAACATCATCCACTCCATCACACTTCTCAGATTAGCATTCACACAAATAAAAATTGGAGAAAGAAAAGATGAAAATGATTGACTTCCTTATGCTGCTGGTTAGACAATGAAGTCCGTCACTATCTTTTCGAAATAACCCTCTTCTAGGAAATAACTTATCCTTTTCAACTAAAGCAACTGTACTTTTACCCTAACCAAGTCTATCCAAGTGATGTTAGCAATGAAGTACATCACTATCTTTTCGAAATAAAGTTACTTAAAACAATATTTGGCATGAAAATATTTATCTATCAGAGACAAGCACAAGGTACAGGTTAGACTACCAAAACCTTACCATTTTTGTTCTTTTACTGAATAAATGACCCAAAGCAGTCTCTGCCAGTGCTATGCCTTTCATTACAAGTGTAGCCTGCTGAGTTTCAACACTTCTGGCATTTGGCTCAAGACAAACTGGTGCAGAATCTTCCCCTTGAGTCCAATATAGATCGTATGGGAGAGTCCAATTGATGCCAATTCCAGAATCCTTTCCTTCTCTACTATTACATCTATTTGATTTTGGGCTACCAGCCGAATCCACCTGCAGACAATTAAGTGTCACAAAAAGTAGATCACTAACAAATTCTCATAGAAAAAGGACACTAGTTAAGCAAGCAGTATCAAAAGCTGCAATGAGGCAGTTAAACATTGGTCCACTGAAAATGATGCCTTAGAACTGTTGGAAGAAAAGTAAGTTGATTGACTAATAAAGAAAACCACACCAAACGATTACTTTTGCGTCCTGCATATTTTTCGTAACAACTTAAAATAGCATTGCCGGCAATGCATCTTCATCATCACACAAAAGCTGGAAATATGAGCACTGAATGATTAACCTCATCTCTAAAAGGAAATACTTTGAGCTTTTGATATCCGCAATCAGCAATTACAAATAGTTGGTAGAAGCTCAATGGAAAGAGTTACCTTCAGGTTATAGAGAATAAATTCAGTGTGCATGTTCAGAGAAATTCGACATTATACTTGTGCAGTTGAAAGAACAAGGCTGCTCCTAAATATGCTTTCTATTTTCAACATAATTTTCTCCAGACTATCAGAGAAGTTAAGATCAAGAAGCCTCAGCTAACAATTTAGAAAGTGAAACAGTAAAACAATCTATCACGTAATCTGAAAGACAACAAGAAAAAAAGAAAAGGGTAACTTTCTTTTGTAAAACCTTTAACCTAGAGGAACTACACAATTCGATTTATATCCTGAAGTACCGTAAATTACTCAAGTGGTTGGAATCACTCTTGCAAAGGCCAAAAATACATCCTAGAGTTGGATCTTCTATTTTCAAATTTTCAAGGAGACAAAAGAAGATGAAAAAAACTTCAGCCAGACTCAATGGTGGACCAAAAAGATGGACACTCATGTCATAGCATATAAAGAGATGATTAGGATACCAGAAGAATATAAAGAAGGTGGGGCTTGTACCATATGGGAATTGTCCTATATTACATGTACCTAGTGTTGAAAATGGTATGGGTAGTCTACAAGATGATGACTGTTCCTCCTTCCTAAGCATTTTGGCATGACCTTCACTTAAAAGAATTTAACCAGAAAAACAAAAACAAAAAAGAAGAAAACCAACTGTTCATCATTCAGTACCACTGCAAATAAAGTTCACCATGCTGCTTTCACAACACAGTTAATCTTCAATGTGGAGCACTGTTTATGATACAGTCACTACTCACTAATAACTGAGATCATCTTTCAAAATAATTGTCTGCACGGACTACATATCTCTAAGGTACGTTTATTTAAGCAATGCATCTTCTGAATGGACAAGATACTTACTTGTAGTTGTATACTGTACTTCTTTTGGCACCAAGTTAATTTTGGTCATGCAGCAATCATAGTGTATGAACAAGAGAAGGTCGAGATGTCATGGTGCAGCATCATGGTTTCACAATCACACTTCTGGTTCCTGTTGCAACTACTAGGTATATCTCCCCAGTTTGCACATGCAATTGATAAATTTCCAATAATCAAGTTCACTTATCATGTTGAACAAGCATCTCTTCACACTGCTTTATGTGCATGTGTATATAGGTGATTGTGTAGCTAAACCTTCATACAGATAAACATATTCTCAGACACCAAAACCAATTACCCTAGCCCACAAAAGAACCGACCCTGCCACAGGCAATTGTTAAGCATAAGAAGTTCCTCTAGCGTCCTTGTAATCAATCTTCTTTTCTAAATTTAATCCAGGTAAAGAAAAACCAGGATAAGGTAATTACTAAGGTGCTAAACTGTATTACAAATGCCACCATTAAAAGTATCGAATCAGCATATAACTCTGCATCTATTCACTCCAGGAGTAGTTGTGCACTTCTCAGCATAATGGAAATGTCCATGCTTTACTTCATAAAGCTTGTCAGCAAGTAAAAGCCAGATGCAAGATGCTAATTCAAACTGAACAAAAGAAAATCTGTTATCTATCTTGTTCTAGGCTCTGTACAACATTTATACAAATGGAATTTGACTTTTGTCAATTCCATGAAATCTGTAATCTCCTAAAAATTAGGAGCCAATTTATTCTATCCTAATATACATTAGGAGTAAATTATTCTATCCTAAAATAGAGCAGAAATCATGGGATATACATAGAATTATAGCTGTACAGAAAAGATATTCTAAATTTTCAACACTCCCCCTCAAGATGGTGAATAGATATTTTCCATTCCCATCTTGCATGTAATGTCTTCAAAGTTGGAAGTTGGCATTCCCTTAGTTAAGACATCTGCCAATTGATTTTGATGCTAACTCATGCCGCTGTCCAGCTTTTCTTTAATAAAATGTCTATCTACTTCGATGTGCTTTGTGCGATCATGTTGCACTGGATTGTGTGCAATGTTGATGACAGACTTGTTGTCGCAATAGAGTTTCATAGGTCCTTCCCACTTGATTTTAAGGTCATTAAGTATTATTTTGAGCCATAGCAATTCACAAACTCCATGAGGCATAGCTCTAAACTCTGCTTCAGCACTTGATCTTAAAACAACCGATTGCTTCTTACTCCTCCATGTCACTAGGTTCCCACCAAGAAATATACAATATCCTGAAATTGATCTACGATCTACTACAGAACCTGCATAATCAGCATCAATCTATGCCTCTATGAGCAATCCTTCATTTTTCTTGAACAAAATTCCTTTATCCGGTGTCCCTTTGAGGTAGGATAGAATTCTGTTGACAGCCTGCAAGTGTTTCTCTCTTGGATCATGCACAAATTGGCTTACTACACTTACGGCAAATGCTATGTCCGGCCTTGTATGGGACAAGTATATCAGTTTCCCAACCAACCGCTGATATCTTCCCTTATCTACTGTGCTATCATCCTTCTCTTCATTCAATCTCAAGTTAGGCTCAATGGGTCAAATAATGTAATCATCTATAGCATAATGGGTCTTATAACTGTGCATCCATACATCTCACTAATGACAAGTTATCTTTTCTCAGGATATTAATAATATTGTCTTAAAGTTGAAAGCAAGCAAGCTGATCCAATGTCCTCAGAAAAAATGTAACATGCTCTCATCAGAGTAAAAGAGGATTGGCTGCTCAGAAAATTCTCTACAACTCAAGTTCGCTTCCGGTCATGAGCATCCTCGTTGAAATCAAGACACTACTCCTCTTGATGCCTGCTTTGCATAAGAAAGATATGTGCAATTTATACATATTATCCATTATGTCAGTTACTCTTCGTAACCTATCCACTTACGACAATAAAGAAACTGAGCATGAAATCGAAACTTTTACCTTATAAAATCAAATAGACTGGAAAAATAAACATATGAGAACTAACTGATTACAAAGAAAAATGAAGTAAAGACCTTCTATCTCTGAAATAGTAATGATCTGGAAGATCTAGCAGAATGGAGAAAAGAAAGGACCCAAGTATTTACAAAAGAAAACTACTAAGAAAAGAAATCGCTAGATGAATGATGCCCCTTGTACCTTGAATACCATCTTGACAGAATCATGGCATAAGGAAGCACATTATAATGCTCAACCACTGCAGTAGGCATCCAGCTATAAGACATCCATTCAAACAGGGGGCCCTGCAAACTAATTCAGATGCAGAAGCATGTTTATGGTACCATCATTGTTACCCAGGAAGAAAAATGATAATTTAAAGCGTTTTCAAATCTTAAGTGACATCCTTTAATTTTCAAGCATCTCCTGAGTTTTTAAAAGACAACAAATGACTGAAAATTCACTCAAAGATCTGATACAAGATAACTTGAAAAACTTATTTAACTTCTATGGCCTACCTTGCAATTTCTGAACAATCTATTATGGTAATAACTAAGTGCAAAAAGATTTTAAAATGTTGTAGTTATAGACATATAATCAAAGGTGTTTTACATATGGGCTAATTTGGTCCAGTAAGATATCTGGTTGTCTTCTTACTCCTACACCAACTGGGCAAATTCTGAAGAATCTACAAGGAAAGGACAAAAGTATCTGATTGTCTTCCTAAGAATGTTCCATATGGCCACATTAGTACTCAACGCAAATCCCATGTGACTAATTATCTATCTATAACTTTCACATTTTCCTAGATGAAATTAAGCAGCAACACTCTGTCGTATAATTCTGTGGGCAGTCAGTGTTTACACAGTCCAGCTTCACTGAGTCCTTCCATCTGTTTCTTTTATCCCAACCAAGTACTAGTTTCTTCTCATCACTTTTCAATCAACTGGATAGCCATCTACTTAAAATATCACAATTCCTATTCTTCTTGCTTTCGCTTTATCTTTTAATGCTTTACTTGCTGAGCTGCAAAGTAGCACAATAGTTCCTGCAACAGCAAGTTCCCCTATTTGGCAACAAAGCAGTCACCACTGCTGGCTCTTCTCTTCAACTCTTGCTACTCTAACCTATAAACTTTCTTCATTTCTTTCCCACTGCCAGCAGCCAGATTCCAGTAGCAACAAAACAACGCTTTGCAGCCACAGTAGCAGCTACAGAGTCTATCATTTTATTGATAAGGATGGGAAATGAAAATGAATGATCAGAAGAAGACGTAAGAGAGTAGTTTGAGGGTTAAAGAAATGACTGAATGGGAACTTCAAAAATTGTGTACCAACACAACTGGTGGCAGCTGTCTCCTCTAACAATCCAGAACATTTTGACTTTTTTATGAGTGACTTTGCAGGCAATTTTGGGCTTGCAGGCAATTCAAACATTGGAGAGTTTTTAGGTCATCCTTAGGTCAATTTACTTTAAATCTGAGAACTGATTTTATACCCCCTCGCAAACCATGGTGGATTTTTATATCATCCTTTTAGGTCAATTTAGCTTACAGATGAGAACTGATTTGACACCCCCTTGAGATTGACAGAAGCCATGAAACTAAAAAAGGGATTGGCAGGAACCTACAAAATTGAAAGAGACTTGGTGAGAGCCGACGAAACTGATATAAACCTCCTTCATGTACACGTGGGTGAACTTAGCGCCAGAACCCTCCAGAGGAATCAGCTGGATTTATGGATAGATACTGCCTAGGAAAAACCTAAAGGAAAAAACTGAATTGTCCGCGACGAAAGCAACTCCCCCAGAAGTGTTTGAACGACCAAAGAGGTACTTTGCATTTTAGCAGATACTGAGCAGTGTTTCATTAGCACATTTACTGTAACCTAGTATAAATCTAGAGGGAATGCATTAATATACCTTTTGCGTTACATATGCATTTATTCTGGCTGTTCAGATGCATTCCATTGGGTATCATTTTCTATATCAGTAAAATGTCCTTTGCTCTTTGAAAAGATACACTTAATCCAAAGAACCTAAAACATGTCGGTTTGATTCTGGAAATGAAACGTCTCTATTGGTTTGAAAAAACAACGGAGAGCTTAGATGTAAGTTTCTTTAAAAAAAAAAAACACACACACACACACCCATTCAAAATCAAGGCAAAATGCAACAAGCATAAACAATATTTGAAAATCTCTTCTGCTTTAAAGACCAATCAACATCATTTCTGAATTACATTAGTGTAGCTTTGACTGAGAATGCGTATTCCTCTGCCTAAAAAAAGATACAATCAAGTATAAAATTAAGGTTACAGCAAAAGTCATATAGGATTACAAAATATAGAGATATGAACAGTTGAATCAGAGTAACAATTAGAGGAGTTAAAAATAATTGACAGGAGGGAAGATGGCTTCTAGTATCAACTTTCCTCAAGTAGTTCTAAACAAATCTGAAAGCTAAATAAAGCTAAGAGGCTGCTCCAAAGCTATATGTCAAGATAAGAGCCTGTTATTAGCCTAATAATATGAACTGACATCAAATGCTCTTAATGAACTGACACCAAATGCTCTTAACATAATACCTAAGTTGAATCAGAGTAACAACTAGATTCTGAGCTGGAAATAGAGCTCAGAATCAAAGTCGTTAATGAGTGAGTTAAATTCAAATTTGTAACAAACAAATTAATAGTTCTTCAATAAAACCTCATAATATGAATTTCAACTTCCAGAAACAACTAACATCAGGAAATAATGAATAGAACTAACCTCTCAATAGTATCTTTAATAGGAATTTGAATGTCTCCACCACTTGTGCATTGCATAATGTAGAAATAAGCAGCTGTCTTTTCTTTACTTAAAGAATACACCACATGCCTCTCCAAAACCATGAGATCAGAGTGACTAATGCCTATTTACAGTTACCAAAACATTCAAGCACCATAAGCAATGTTTGAAAGAAGAAACTTTACTTGGAGCGGACAGGGGGGAGGAGGATGGAAAAAGACACTCAAGCAAATTGGTTAGAGTTTTGAGACCTAATTCATATGAGTAGGAAATAACATGACAGACAACAATCTAAATACAATTCAGGCATTGACCAGATAAACTGTTGCTATAAGTTTGACTTCAATATCATGACGAAGAAAAGAACTACAAATGCAACAGCTCAAGGAGAAATTAAGAATTCAAGTCTTAAAGTAGCTTTATAGTCCATCGAGCCTGCTCTTAAATTAAATTTGAAGACAGAAGAGTTGTAAAACTATCAAAGAAACACCAGCGATTCATTAGCCTCCATAACTCTTTAAGTACCAGAGAAGAATGCATCGCAATTTTCAATTTTCATAAGGTATTTTAAGATGTTAGGCACAAATGGAACAGGAAGAAGAAAACATGTCTATTTACTGAAGAGAGAAGCTCCATAAATAATTTTGTCCATTTAATTACAGGAAAAAAAATTTACACGAATGGGGGCTCAATAGTCCATATTCTGGAACAGATTCTGGAACAGTGGCATACCTGTAGCTTCCTTGACAGCTATCGAGGCAAGCTGCTCAAAGTATGACTCTGTGAGTTGTTCACCTGTCGTTGTTTGACTTATTCTTTTTCCCTCTGATGTATTTTCCAAATCTATGTTGAAGTCATTGATAGATTTTTCAATAACAGACCAGACACCTTTAGTAACAGAACCAAATAGCAGCACACAATTCTCCTTTTCTGAGTCGACCAACAGCACTGAAACATTTGAAATCGGCCATCCTTCTATGCTTGGAACGTCTTTCAGTGCATCTAAAGACAATGAGATATTGCAGGCATCCATGACTGCTTTCTCTGTCACTGAAAGTTGGTTTTCCAGATCATTCAACCCAACAGGATCGGTTTGAAGTGTAAACTTCATATGAGGCATTAGAGTTGGCTTTAAAGTTAAAGCCAACTTGCAAAATGGCACAAATTCCAAAAAGCACAACTCTGGATCTTGCTTCCTATGGTAGTAGTTGTAGAGTAGCACAACAGCATGCATCTGTAGCAAAGCAGAAACGGGTAAGAAACATCAGTTATTAAATCAACAAAATCCATAAGAATCATAAATTCTGTACCAAATGCTTCAATTCAAAAACAAAATTTTGTCTAACCCCAGTAGAAGGAAAAAATGAAAAACCATAAGATCCTACATTTGGCCAAGGTAAGTAAATGCATACTGCCACAAAGGAGCAAAGGACACACCATTGATTTTGCATACCGCAATTCTTTCTATTTGTGAGATTTAAACACAACTACAAGATATGATTAGAACTGAGTATACTTAATAGAAGCATCCATGTCTTTTTCCATGGTTAAGATGTTATTTAGAGGGACAAAAAAAAAAAGCATGATTGATGGGCTAAGGTCCTGTGAAAATACTTTGGCAACAAACTTCCACATTATCTTTTGGCTTTGCCCGATGCTACTTTAACATCCTCTTTTGATGATAGAAGCCTAGAAATGAACAAGAATGGTTTTCTATGCTCTCAAGAAAAGTAAGCACCACGCTAAAAATGAAATAGAAATCCTTCCTTCTCAGAGAAATGCTTCCAGCAGTAATAGATAAACGAATATGAAGTTAGCAATACTGATAACCATGGAAATCACTTCCAATCTCTACAATGATTTACAGACCAGTTTTTATTTTTTTTCTTCAAATCCTTGGTCATTGAAGTACAATATAATTGGATAGCCGAGGACAAATGTACTTGCATCATTGTAAATAGTTAAAAAGAATTTTGAATTACAAGATTTAGTTAATACAAGCAGCTTTTCTAGAATAGATAACTAATCATACCTTATCCACAATGTGCAATTTGATTCTCAGTAATCTGCACTCTCTTTACAATACAAAGGCAACTTTTAAACAGAAAACTACAGATGTAAGTAATTTCCTTGAACACTTCTGCAGTTGGAATCTCCCTCCTCTCCCTCCCTCACTCTCTCCCTTATATTCTAGTCCTAGTGACTTTTCCTTGCATGGCCATGGCAGCCCTTAATCTTTCAATAAAGGGCACCCTTCTTGACCTTTGGATCCAGTTACAAGTGCTACTCCCACATATATGTTCCTCATAATGTGCCTAGAACCACTATCATTGATCTCCAAACCATTTTCACACTTGGCTGTTCTTTCAGTACCCTTCTTCATCGTATGGGTGTGTGGATTCTCCTTTTTAAGTCACCAACAAAATGGACAGACTTGTTGCCAATCTTCCAGGACAGCAGTCTAATTATGTGAAATGCACATGCTCAGGCCAATGAATCATTTTCAAATTTGAGAACCAAAATGACAATTTTTTTAGAGGTTTCTATGTCTACACGTAGTAATTTTCTTTTTCTTATTTATTATGAAATGAGAATGTCTAAAACAAAAACCAAAAACCACTGTAGACTGTAATGCACAAAATGCATTACTGCCAAATGTTTCACAAATGTGTTCATACCATAATCTATAAGATTCTACCACAAATTAAAATAAAAATGATATCAATACAAGTACTAACAGAGCAGAATTAGTTCTAAAATAAGCATAAAAGAAAACTTACAAAAAAAATCAACTAGGGAACAAAGAAAGAACACCTGTCTAGCAACAGAATGCTGATTATCAAGTGATGGAGGATCCTTTCCATATAGCTTTGAAGGTAACAGTGGATCAACCAACCACTCCAACAATGCGCTCACTGCCTCCTCAATGGGTGCCACGTCCGACATGGAATAAGCTATCCTTAACTAAACAAAATGACAAAAACTCAACAATTAATCCAAGAATTATAAGATTAAAAGATATCCACAACATTGCAGTTTGTGCTCTAGGATTGCAGTGTGAGATGAATATATCATTTCAATGTGTCACTTGCTTAAATTTAGTTGTGTAGGTTTGCATACATATGAAAAAACAAATTAATATTCCCTAAAAAAACATGGAAAACAATTTCCCAACCAACTAGCATAATTCTTAATATCTATTTGACCCCACAACCAGGGAACTTGAATTTCTTGTATATTGCAAAATATTCCTATCATTTATTAGTCCCCACAACCATGGAACTGGAATTTCAGTATATTGCAAAATATAGTTCCATTACAACATAAATTTCGCTGGAACAATACTTGTTTCGTATAACAGGGGTATCGAATGGTTGGGATTTTGCAACCAATTATTTTAGCTATCAAGATTTTTTTTGAATATTAAAACACATTGGGTGCACAGAAAACAACCAAAAACTTAAAAAAATAAAAATACAAACTAAAAGCCGCATGATCAACATTTCCTTAAAAACATTTCACAAAAAATCTTCATCACCACCAAAATATCAGCATGCATGCAAAAAAACTAACTAAAGTTTCCACAAATTCAACCGCTAACTTAGGGTTCCTGAAAAACATAGAAAATTACCAAATCAAAAACTTCATATAGGACTTGAACTTTGGTATTCCTTGAAAAACAAAAAACAAATGCAAACACAAACACAAGAACGAGAACAAAAGCTAAAAATTAAAACAAAAAAGCATAGAAAAAATTTTACTGACAAGATTCCTTCACACCGTTCGACCCAGCTAACAATCACTACTCACTGCTGTCCATGACGAAATCCACGGCGACCAAAGCTTTTTATGGACTAAGGAGAGAACCGGAGGCTAAAACGGTGCCTTCGAAAATGCTAGCAAAGAACAGTGGACCGGAGTAGAGAGGATTGGAAGAAGCAACTTGGGAATGACAAGAAGAAGAAGAAGAATTGAAAGAAAAAGACAGAAAAGTGGGTGAGTGAAATTGGGGAAGTGAATGCGTTACGAATCACTCACCATAACAATGTGCCGCACGGGGTGGTGGTTTGCTTGAAAAGGCGTGCACTTTGCTGATGTGGCGTACGGTAAAGAAGAAGAGCTTCCATTACTAAATGAGATTTAAATATAATCCGCTATACTTAGATGCATTCTAGTTGGAGAGGACAAATGTAGACACTAAGACAACACGTGTCTGATTGAAGGACACAGATAATTTGCAAGAGAATGTGAATTAATGGACAAATGTAGGTAGATATCTATCTATGAAATAAATAAAGGGAGAGTAACTGAGATTTAAATGTAATCCAATATCATTAGATGCATCCCTCATGGGACCAGTTGGAGAGGACAAATGCATACACTAAGACAACACGTCTAGTTAACGGACAGATGTATGTAGACTCTAAGACGACATGTTTCCGGTTGAAGGACAGATGTAATGTGCAAGAGAACGTTGAGTAATGGACAAATGTATATCTATACAATATATAAAAGGAGAATAACTGAGATTTAAATGTAATCTGCTATGGTTAGATGCATCACTCGTGGGCCTAGTTGGAGAGGACAAATGTAGACTCTAAGACAACACGTGTCCGGTTGAAGAACAGATGTAATGTGCAAGAGAATGTGGATTAATGGACAAATGTAGATAGATATCTATTTATACTATATATAAAGGAAGAGTAACTGAGATTTAAATGTAATCCGCTATGGTTAGATGCATCACTCATGGGACTAATTGGAGAGGACAAATGTATACACTAAGACAACACGTGTCTGGCTAAAGGATAGATGTATGTAGACACTAAGACAACACGTGTCCGGTTAAAGGACAGATGTAATGTGCAAGAGAACGTGGATTAATGGACAAATGTAGGTGGATATCTATTTATGCAAATATATAAAGGGAGTGTAACTGAAATTTAAATGTAATCTGCTATGTTTAGATGCATCACTCGTGGGCCTAGTTGGAGAAAACAAATGTAGACACTAAGACAACACGAGTCTGGTCAAAGGACACATTATTTGTAAGAGAACGAGGATTAATGGACAAATCGAAGTAGATGTCCATTTATAAAACATATAAATGGAAAGTAATATTGTGTGGTGTAAACACACAGTGTTAGTTTTTGAAATTTCTGATCTACCCTTAATTATAGAGGCAAATTGGTCCAATATATTCTAGGAAAAAAAGACTTCCCATAATAACCAAATAATTATCCCGTTGAGATCTAATTACAACTTTGTCACACTAATTTCCTCACATCCCCAATTTTTTCTCTACCAAGGTTTTAAATACAATAATTTCCTCTAAAGTAGTAACTATGGATTTTTCAGATAAATACATATATGTGATATGTAATTTAATATGAAAAATAATCACATATTTTCTTGAATAGGACACACCTAGGGTGTAACAAAAGTACTAGTTAGTATAACAAATATAAATGGTAAGACAATGTAAATAAATACAATAAATATTTTTAAAAAGTTGTACTTTAAAATAAATTTGATTTATGTAATTTAAGGCAGATAATGTTTGTACAATTTATTGTATCGTGTAATTACTTGTGTGATTGTTGATGGTACTTTCCTATTTGTGTGACTCAGCATGGATTAACTGCATGTGCACTTCTGTAATTGTTCAATTGCCTTCACGACTTGATCTTGAAATGTGGATGGCATGGAACCACCTTTAAAGCTCCATTAGGGATTGCAGTGCATTTACAATAAAAAGAAAGGGTTAAGTGCTAAAAGTACTTTTAAGGTGTTTCATAACTAATTTCTGTAACTTAAGGAGCTCAATTTTGGTAATTTTTTTTGATGAACAGTTTTTGGTAATTTAAAAGGTTTTTTTTTTAACAGCACTTGTGTAAAAAGTGTTTGTTTATAAGTCACCGCAATCCCAAACGGTACTCATATCAAATACCCAACATTTCACTTTTCTTGTGCCAAAAAAGAAAGACTAAGTCTACATTTTCACTTTTCTTGCGCTTTGTTACAATATGTGCTCATAATTAATCAAGTTTACATTTTCCTTGTCATTTTTACTAATTTTCTTCTCCTGTGCATATACCACTTTAGCTCATTATTACTAGACAGGTAGGGCATGAGGACAAAAAGACTACCAAACAGAATCCGAAATCTAGCACACTTCTTGAAATGGGCAAGCTAATGGACATGCTAACTTATATGGGGATATCTTGATTTAATAAGCCCAGACTCGATTCATGTATCACTTTTGGATTTTGCATTTTGAGTTTCAGGCTAATAAATGTAAATCTCATACTTGACTCACAACTGTGAATCTAATTCGAATTTAGCCCAAACTCATTTATTGCTCCTTAATTTACTTAATATAATTAATGTAACTGTTAAGTTCTAAAACTAATGTAACATCCACAGGATCACAACACTAATTTAATAGTTCATTAAAAAGCATATAAATCAAGAAATTTCCAATAGTAATATATCCAATTAGTTCAAAATACATGAAAAATGGTAATAAATCATGATCAACAATTAATACATCTTCAAAGGTCTTACATTTTCTCATACTAAGATTTATCCTTCCAAATCTTTTGACCTAATTTTGTTTACTTAATATTTCTTACATATATTAATATAGTTTGACACAACTCATAAATATATAGTATTTTATGTCTAGATATATAAATATGTACATATATAATTGTATATAATATGAAAATATGAATATATTATATAAAAATTTATATATAGATCCAAATTAAAGGACTGGGCCTATATCGGATTTGAACCTAATATGTGTCAAATTCGACCCACATTTAATTCAGCCTAATATTTAGATCCAACTCAGCCCAACTCAATAAAAAGTTAGGCTCATTGGGCTTTTTCCTGAGTTGAGAGGGCTAAGTTTAGGCTGATTCTACCCATTAATAGTCCTAATGGAGACTCAAGAGAAGGTCCATCTTGGAGATGTAACATGAATGGTGAAGATGAGATGAAATTTTTGGAAAGTTTAGCTATCTTCTCCTTAAGTTAAGATTTTATATTAGTAAAATAACTAGTTTCTTTCTCGTGCATTTGCATGGGTCATTTTGCATTCAACAACAGAATTAAATATTGCAATACAAATTTTAAAAATTTAAAAATTTATTTATATAGATAAACTACAGTTTTGATTAACTATTCAATAGTAGTTTGAGAATGGAAAAAAATAATATACTATATATGAAACTTAAAATGAGCCAAATTTTGTAAAGGATAAGTTATATAAATACTAAACAAAATGAGAATTAGGTAGGAGCAGTAAATAAGGAACTCAACACAGTACAAGAAAAAGGGAACTCTTACCTTTTAGTATTGTTTGGATAATTTTATCATACAAAGCAATGTTCTGCTGTGCAATGCTCAATTGATGTAACTGCCATAAACAAAGCATAATGAATGTATTTAGTGCAAGACATGCAAAACAGAAACAAACAAAGTTTGGCATTTCAAAGAAAGCCTGCAGGAAAAAGTCACAGCTCAAAGTGTAAAATTGAAAGAACTAATCCACTTCCCATGAAAATTGACTACAGCACTAATATTTAGTACTAATCCCCACAAGAGAGACACACAAAGGTTAAAAATCAGAAAGAGAAATTGCAATGCAATAGAAGATTGCTCGCTCTTACTTGTTATGTTCAATTCTTTCTCTGTTGAGATTACTAAACAACAAATAATGCCAGAACTAAGCCAATTGACAAGTCAATGTCAACTAGGCCAAATCAAAGTCCTTAAATGGCATACATGTGTTTTTAACATGGAAATGGAAAGAAAACTTTCCAACAAACATGCAGCATGTATAGATCACATACAACCATAATCCGTAGATTTGTAAATATACTGAATGGAGCAATTTCTTTTGCCCTTCCCAATAACATAAAAACCAAAGCAAGGGGCGAAAGGAGGATGAGAAACATCCAGAAATTTCTTTTCAGAAAATCAACCATTATTCTAGCTGGATATTTCAGAAATTTGACCCCCAAACTTTTCAGTCAGTGGAGATCGCAATGATTGCAACAGATCCAATATTCATTCAGGATATTTTTCCCTTTCTTCTAAGCAGAAGTTGGGCTGAAACAAGAACATTTAATCGAGTTACATCATTTTGCTTACTAATCAACTGGAAAACCATGAAACTAAATCAATATATAGAATCGCAAGAGTACGTATGGGGCATACTAACACAGAGATAACATTTTCAACCTAATTCAAATATATAATGCTAAATACGTTAAAGCACACATAGCAATTTGACACCAGTGCAAAAAATAAGATTCAGGATTTATGAATCAACATCTTACCTAGAAATCCAATTAGACAAAATTCCAGCATAAGGAAGCAGGTGATAGTATTCAACAACAGGAACTCCTCTTGACCAAAGGCCTTTGCAAACTGGAAAAAAGAAGAATAAAGAAATTAGCTAGAGCAGAACGGGAAGTTTTTCTCTGTGGTAACCAAATGTTTAAAGACCACATCATGTCATTCAGAAATGCATCCTCAGGATCTCAGTTTAGAAGGTAAACCAAAAAGGCCGTCGTTATCCTTTATCATACTATGTGAAAACAAAATCACATTAAAGAAAAAGTTGAGGTTGTTGACCACTTAGCATGGCTCATTTTCCCAACCAAGAAAGGTTCTAATGATGTCAGGCCATTCGCAACATTCTAAGACCACTTTCTAAACACATCAAGCTCACATTAATTGATTTAACTGGAGTTCAAGTACCTTAAATACATCAATTTTTGGGCATCAACCTGAGACTTGCTGAATCCTTCTCAAAACTTACATACACCCAGCCATAACACTAGAATTATTCATACAAAAAGTCTTGCACTACATATTGCTGAACTGCAAGCATGGAAGATCTCAGGTACCATAAGTTTAGATTCTAAACTAATTTCTATATGGAAAAAGAGAAAGAAAAAGGCAATAGAGAAGCTTTGTTAAAACTCAAAAAGGCCTAATAACAATATTTGGTAAGATTTACATGACT